GTTTTGTGTTATATATATATATATATATATATATATATATATATACACACACACACAAATATATATTACAGAACTAAAACATTTTCTCTCAAATTTTTGTTGTTGTAAAATCATGACCCACCCTTCATTTTTGTCTTGTCAAATATCCTGCTTGGAAATAAGTTGTCTTACAGACACAAACATGATCATGAATAATAAATAATCTGTTTTGTGTCTGTGAGGCTGTTGATATTTATGAATGTTGCATGGCCTTCCATGTTCATAAGAATGGGTGAAATCTTAAGATGTGGATTTTCTTGCTGGGCTCATTGCTGAGATGAAATAATGTCAGCGATGCAAGACCCTTCTTTTCATAATAGATTGCTTCATTTACTCAAGTTGTTTTAAGCCTGAATTAGTTTATTTCATCTGTTGAACATAGAAGTTATTTTTTAAGAATGTGGGTAACCAAGCAGTTGCTGGTCCAGAGTGACTTCCATTGTATTTTTTTGTGTATAAAATGGATGTATTTCCTTAGAATTTTATGTTATTTTTTTGTTCAAGCCCTTGAATTAAAGCTTAAAGTCTGCACTTCAATTTCATGTTGATTGTTTCATTTTAATTCTATTCTGGTGGCATACAAAGCCAAAATTATGAAAATTGTGTCAGTGTCTAAATAATAGATTGAATACCAATTTGTTCCAGGTTCTGCAAACAGGAAAAATAGACTTAACGTTGTAATTGTACCCTTGAACCTGGTGCCGCTCAATCAAAGTATGAATATGTTACCGTAATGAGCGCTATCCCAGCCGCCACGGCACCCATTACTCATTCCTTTTTTTATGTTTGCAACTTCAGCATAGCCAGGTTTGTTAGGTAAAATTAAATTCCCATCAATTCAGGTTTTGTACAATGCAAATCAGCATGCATCTGGCCCTCCTTGGTTCGTGTAGAGAGAGGTAATTAAGCACACAACCCTTTTGTCTTCAAAATACGCTTGGAGTTTTTCATAGCAGGTGGGAAGAGCTGCTGTCAGGAGAGGTTGTTTCAAGTGTTGCTCAAGACTGAATGTTTATGTGTGTGTGTGTGTGTGTGCGTGTAACTTTAAAACGACCTGAACACAGGTCCATTTTGGAGGTGAGCCGGGTTCAAACAGAATGCGAGTCAGGAACATCCAGAGCATCAAATACCTGAGCACTTTATACAAGCTGACTGCAACTTGGCTTTTAATCAACCCCTGTTCCTCGGGCCAGTGGAAATCAGAGTAGCATGCACCCTTTTCAGAGGACTAGATGGAGAGATGCAAAGAGAAAACGAGGCAATCTCAGAGGAGAAAATAGGCTTGCTAGGCAGTCAACCTGTAAAAAACGAACAAGGGTTGTGTCATCCCTTTAGAATTGTGCATGCTTAAAATGGGCATCTATGAAGTATTAATGAAGCAGAGAGGTTGGACCGATGTAAAATGAAATTAGGACAGGCGTTTCAGTGCTTTGCCATGTTTACATTTGTGGTGTTCTTCATCAGATACGTGCCCACTCCAGATGACATTGAGATGTATAAATCGCATAAAGGAGACCCGAGTGAGCTGCATGTGGTGGACCAGTACATGATGGAGGTAAAGCCACGACTCACGCGGACATCACACAACAAGGTCGATCACGTGATGTGAATGATATTTTTGGCGAATACATCTCTCTACACATACCTTTCATAATTCATGCAACTTTTGATTATTAGATTAAATGTTATCATATTTCTAAATTTAATTGCAAAAAAACATGTATAATGAAAAGCCTAAATGTGTATGCAAATATTTTGTTTTTGCATTATCACATTATTTTCATCAAAACAAGCGTTAAATCATTTCTGTTTTACGTTGAAATATATTTAATATTTTAAATATATATATTTAAGATAATATAGAAATTATTTAATATTTGATTGTCATGAAAATAATGTATATATTTATTCAATTATTCATTTAAATTATATTAATATATTAAATTCAAATCTACGTTAAATCAAATACAAAATGAAATAATAAATTAGTTCTACATTATATTAAATAAAACAAAAAATTTTGTTCAAACAACAAAAATGTATAAATCAACAAATTATATTTCTATGATGTATATGCTATCTGTGATGTACAGTATGTACTTTTTAAATATATGATGCATAAATACTTTAAAAGTAGTACTAATAGTCGTTATTTTTTGCATTACAGTTTGGAGAAAACTGCTTGATTGTCGTGAAAATATTACAATTCTAAATTAATAATTGGAATTTGAATAATAATTTATTTTCATTTTGAGGTGAAATATGTCTCTGACAAGTTCTTAACAGGCTTTAGGAGATTCATCCAGACATTGTTGTCAACATTAATGAGTATTACTGTGCATTTTCTAAAAGCATCCCTCAAGATTTTGTGATCACATGCAGATTCTCATATGTATATTAGTCTGCATTAGACATTTCCTACAGATTCTGGGCCATCTAGTCAGTCGCCTTGGTCGGCTTATGTGTGCACAGCCATATTTTCAAGTGCACTGAATTCTTCTGATCCTCATTGTGTGAAAAATCCATGAGGGGATTTAATTTGACAGCTGTTGGTTTGAATTCTTAACCTTCATCTTCACACTGCAAATGAACCACATGACTTGATAAAGGGATTTTGTAAGAGAATTCAGCAGTTGCTGTCTTGTGTTTGAGAGGAATCTTTAGTCATTTTAACAAACCCTGGACATGCCGTTTGTGATGCATTAATCACAGCGCCAGTCCATTCTAAAGGTATCAGGATCGGATTTATACAACAGATTTTAGTTTTTCATGGTTTTCAGCAAACATTATTCCTGGATAATGAGCCTTGCATAATGATTTCTTACTGGAACACCTTCCAGCAGTGGTGGTCACTTAAAATTAGAGATACATTATACATAAAACATGTAAAATATAAATGTCTTTACCTTGAAATATATATGTGTGTATCTAACCTGAGGGCATACATTATGATTGTATTTCAGCCGATATCTGGGAACCTGTTAAATATGTGTATCACTGAATCTCACAAAACGTGTAATTTTTCATCTTAAAATCAAAAGGTAAAAGTTAGAAATTATTTATTTGTAAAGACAAATACACTTATTCATTTTTAATTTTTTTTGCATTGTGTCATTATTTTCATGAAAGTTTAGCTACTATCCTCTAGCGTAAGGCACAAAAAAATCAGCAGTTGCTGTCTTGTGTTTGAGAGGAATCTTTATTCATTTGAACAAATCCTGGATATGCCGTTTGTGATGCATTAATCACAGCGCCAGTCCATTCTAAAGGTATCAGGATCGGATTTATACAACAGATTTTAGTTTTTCATGGTTTTCAGGAAACATTATTCCTGGATAATGAGCAGTGGTGGTCACTTAAAATTAGAGATACATTATACATAAAACATGTAAAATATAAATGTCTTTACCTTGAAATATATATGTGTGTATCTAACCTGAGGGCATACATTATGATTGTATTTCAGCCGATATCTGGGAACCTGTTAAATATGTGTATCACTGAATCTCACAAAACGTGTAATTTTTCATCTTAAAATCAAAAGGTAAAAGTTAGAAATTATTTATTTGTAAAGACAAATACACTTATTCATTTTTAATTTTTTTTGCATTGTGTCATTATTTTCATGAAAGTTTAGCTACTATCCTCTAGCGTAAGGCACAAAAAAAAAATCACATTTTCAGTAGCATAATGTGAAAAATGTTAAATGATAAAGTACTTATATACATACCTGCATAGTAGTATTTTTGCACCAGCCTTATTTATACACACAAATCATTGTGTTACACTATTTTTAAATTTAATACTGTATTGCAATAACAAGAATAACTACTAAGTTTCACTTCAGTTAAATGTTACTAATTTTTCATGGCAATAATGCATATGAATAATGCATATAAATAATCATAGCATTATCACTTGAATTAAATTTCACTTCATTCTCACGAAAATAATGCATATAATGCAATAATGCATTTTGCAATGAATTTATAGCATACATGGTTAGTATTAATATCTAATTTTAATTAATGCTAATATTAATAATTAGTGCATTAATTGTAAAGTGACACAAGGGACCTAAAATTCTTAATTTCCTTTATCACGGTAATTAACTGTTGTGTTTTGCTTTTTGTATCTGTATGTGTGTGTGTGTGTGTGTATATATATATATATATATATATACAGGTGCATCTCAATAAATTATAACAAAGAGTGAAAAATTGAAGGGGGTCTGAATACTTTCCGTACCCACTGTATGTATATATATATATAGTGTGTTTTGCTTTTGATTTAAAATTTATAGCACTTATGGTAAGCATTAATATCGTGTTTAATATTAATCTAATTTAATTACGTTTATTTGTGATTAATAAATGTTGTAAATAAGTGCAGTTATCTAAAAATATAAATTCTTGTGTTTTATGCTTTTGATTTTGGTGTGAAATATGGACCTGGACATTTTCTGTTAGTGAGATTTACCCATATGTACTAACCTGAGCATGTTTATAGCGGCATATCTTGACATTGTCCAGGCCGTCTGATGATATATCACCTCTTCCTCAGATGTGCAGCATCCTGAACCTCAGCACCCGTCTGGACCTGCTGCTCACGATGCGAGAGCTGCCCATCTGTATGGAGGACCTCACGCCGGTCAGACTCGCATTACAAACACCCTTATATGCACCTGTCAGTCATGTTTGTGTCGGCCTGTTTCTCTTGCTTTTCGCCTCTCTTTTTCTCTGAACTCTGCTGAATTGCTTACAGATAGGGCACATTCAGAATAAGCCGCCAATATAGAATGCATTTATTTCAGAAAGGGAGGCTCTTTTGGATGCATTCATTATGACTTTTAAGTTACAATAAGCAGTGTGTGTGTGTGTGTGTGTGTGAGTGATAATTTGCATGTTTGTGTGCACACTGGCATTTTATTTCTCAGTTAGCACCGCACCGCACTGATGATTATGATTGACAGAAGAAGAAAATGAAAGTTTATTTGTGGAAAAACAATCTCATGTGAACTGGAGTCTCACAGTACGCCTGGAGGAAATCAGTATTGAAGCTTCGCAAAGGTGGCTCCCGAGGCACACAGCTGAACGGAGAGGGAAAAAAACAAAGAGAAAGAATAAAAAGCTCATTTACTAATGCAAAAGATAATCTTGGCAGACAGCAGGTGCTCAGAAAAAAATGTATGAAATGGACTTGAGGTGAAAAAAAGAAGCATGCATTAATACACAGGGGTTCTGTTCGCAACGAATCAGCACTTAGAGTGGGCTGACGGAGTTTCTAATGGCAAATTTCCTTCAAGTCATTTATTAGTTAGAGAGTGGCAGGCAGGAAGAGATGTAGCCCAAAGAGCACTCTGAAGGCTTTTTCTACCTGTGAGTAACAAAAAAAAAAATGCTGAAATCCCTCTTGTACTTTCAGTGCATCTCAAAAGTTTTTTATTTGAGTTTCTCTGTACCCACCGTGCTCTTCTATTCTACACCATTGAATACGTTTCTGTCAGATGTTAAGTTCTCTCTGTGCTCCGAAATGGGATGCAAAGATGTGACATTCACCTTCACAAGCTTTTCTGTGTGAACAGATGATTATATACCGGCTGCAAGTTTAAGCCAGTAAGTGTGGAGGTCAGGATCACGGACGCGTCGGGGATTTTTCCAGAGGTTATGGGTGTTATACGGCATCGAAATCGACTTGACTCAGCATTCGGGTGTCAGAGAGGGCTTACGTTGTTCGCCTCGGAGATTTGACAGCTATTTTAGCTGATTTTGCTGTTCTGTCCACCTTGCTGTGCTCGGCGGTGTCACGACTGTCGTCAAAGACGCCGGTCATTTGAATCGCTCACACTCCTGTGTCAGTCATGAGAATCAGGGTTTCAGCAGGTCTTAAACAGACTTAATACACCCTTCTACCTTAAAAAGGTCTTAACCTTCTACCGCATGGTGTAGCCATATGGCAACATACTCTTTGTGTTCA